TGGGTTATGGGTGGGCGTGCATTTGGGTATTAGCAAGGCTGTCCCTAGGGAGGTGTGGGATGGCGGCTGGGTAAGGCACGTCATGTGTGTCTCTTTCCCTAGGGTCCCTTATCTGGCTGTGGCCCGGACCTTTGAGAAGATCGAGGAGGTTTCTGCTCGGTAATCAATCAGGCTAGCCTGCCCGGGCCCGGGGATGGGTGCTCTTCTGGCTCTGTCCCTCACCTGGCAGTTGCTCTCCTTTTCCAGGCTCCGGATAGTGGAGACGCTGAGCAACTTGCTGCGCTCTGTGGTGGCCCTGTCACCTCCAGACCTCCTCACCATCCTCTACCTTAGCCTCAACCACCTTGGGCCGCCCCAGCAGGGCCTGGAGCTTGGTGTCGGGGACGGCGTCCTTCTCAAGGCAGTGGCCCAGGCCACAGGTAAGGAGGGGCTGTGGTGGAAGCTCCTACAGGAGGGGAGCTTGGAGAAGGTAGGGAGGTCGGGAGGATCTGAGATGATGGAAAGGGCCTCTGAAAAGAGGCTGACCAGGGAAGAGGGCCTGAGGGGATGGATTGGCAGGGGAGCTGGGGCAGTGGGACTGGAGAGGAAGGGCTGGAAAGATGCTGCAGGCAAAAGACAGGATTGGGGAGGCTGGGACTTAGGGAGGTAGCACAGGTCCTAAAGGCCTGACCAGGAGAGCCAGGAGGGACCCAGGGGAGATATGGAAAGAAGGGGATATGGGCAGGGCTGCTTGCCCACAGGAGCTGAATCCCAGTGCTTATGAAGAGGCTAGTGATGTGGCAGGGGCTGGCCTGTGCCAAAGGGCCTCAGTGCTTGGTGTTTATTGTGAGGGCGTCGGGGAGCCACAGAAGGCTTTGAGCAGACGAGGGGCAGGGTCAGTTCTGGGTCCGTGTGGAGGACGGACAGGAAACCAGGAGTCCATAGAGGAGGCTGGGATGAACGTCCAGGGGGAAGAGGAGCTGGGTCCAAGGCTGCAGGGAGCAGAGGAGAGGGCAGGAGCGGAGAGAGACGGGGACAGGAGGGACCAGCCTGGGCTTTGGGGGTCAGGGACGGAGGAGGTGCAAAGACTGCCTGGGGATCTCGATCGGTGACTCGGTGGATGATGGATCCAGCACCAGGATAGGACACTGGTAAGGGGCAGGCACATTCAGGGCAAGTTCATCATTTCAGCTTGGGAACAGGTGAGCGACCTGTGTCTGTGGGCCATCAAGAAGTAGGGAAGCACGTCCTTAGCCCGTTGGTGCTCACACTCAATGCATCTCCTCATGGCCCCGATGGCTGCCCGGCCCCAGGTTTGTTGAGAGTTGGTTAGCATTTTGAAAAACCCCAGCACTATGGACAATGCAGATCTCCACAACATACACATCGGAAGGCTCACACGTGTCGCTGTCCCTTTTGTGCAATTCGACATACAGGCACAAGGCCTGACCACTTCTTATGTCACCCTCGCATCTTCGAGTGCAGTGGCTGGGCAGCCAAAGATGGAAATGCGTGCTCTTTCACTGTAAACCGCTTTCCCTCTGTTCCTTGTATATTTTATAGTTAGGGCATTATAGCGAAATGAGTGTAAGTTATATGCGTTTCTTTTCAGAATAGAAAGGAGTGACACAAAGTACCTTAGTGCTAACATGCTAAGGACAAGCACCAAAAGGGCAGAGTGGCCTCAGCCCCATGGCACTGCTGGACAGGGACACCAGCATCAGTAGCTGCCTGCTCTCAACCTCTTATTATACAGGAAGGAGTTGTGGTTCTGATGGAGTGAGAAGTGTTGGTTAGAGCTGTTGTATTAACTGTCTTCCCAGCCTCCTGCTCTGAGAGTGAGGGGTGCCTGTGGGACCCCGTCTGGACAAGGAGTAAGGCCAGAACACATCCTGTGTGTTTAAACTGGTGCTTCAAAAAGAAAATAACAACAACAACAAAAGCATGAAGGCTTATTGGTCCCTGCTGGAGGGTGTTCATGACCAACTAGGGGACAAGCGAAGGGTCCCTTGGCTGCCTTTTCTGTCTACACTCGCTCCCCTGGTGATCTCATCCCACCCTATGGCTTTGATTCCCATCTCCACAGACACCGCCACACCAGGCATCTCTCCCAGTGTTCATCCAACTGCTTACCTTACTCCGTGTGGACGTCTAATAGGCCTCTTACACCTGACGTGAAGGGAGGCGGGTGTTTAGTGCGCTGTTTCAACAAGTGTGTGAGTGTTAGGAATGGGGAAGTCGGGGGGATCACCACCAGGACACGTAGCTGGAGAAGATGCAGCCAGGCCGCCAGAGAAGGGAGATGCAGCCACGCTCCTCACCCTCTTCTCTAACCACCTGGCTCTCTCCACCCCCAAGGTCGGCAGCTCGAGTCTGTCCGGGCTGAGGCAGCCGAAAAGGGCGACGTGGGGCTGGTCGCTGAGAACAGCCGCAGCACCCAGAGACTCATGCTGCCCCCGCCCGCCCTCACCGCCTCTGGGGTCTTCGCCAAATTCCAAGACATTGCCCGGCTCACTGGCAGCGCTGTGAGTGGGGCAGGGTGCTTACCTTTGTCCCCAGACCCTCTCTTCCTCACCCCGGGGGACCCAAATCCACGCATGTGGCAAGAAGGCTCTGGTTAGACTATTTGGGGCCGGATCACTTCAGTTCTGCGTGTGGGGTGCGGACCTGTTGTTCCTTCTTCCCGCCCTCAAGACAGAGAACCTCCTGTTGAGATTCTGGCACCTGATTCAGTGTCTGCAGTGTGACAATAATTATATGCTGAGTAAAGCTAGAGAGGGAGGCATGAAGGAGAGCTGCTTTTTTCTACTGAGCTGCGGGAAGTGAGGGTGCAAGGGGGCAGGGAGAAGGTGTCCCTTCCCTTTACCCCCAGGCCCTGACTGCTGTTCTCTTACCTCTTAAGTCCACAGCCAAGAAAATAGACATCATCAAAGGCCTGTTTGTTGCCTGCCGCCACTCAGAAGCCCGATTTATTGCCAGGTGAGCGTGTGGGCCTGTGAGGTGGGGTGAGGTGAAAGCGGGGAGGGACTGGAAGCTGGGATCACTGCTAGTGCCCTGACCTCCTTAGATGAGAGCAGCATGAGCGAGGAGCCTGGCCCTGAAGGGGTGGGATGGGAACTTGGTAATACTGCCTGGAGAACGGTCCTGGGCTTGTGGGTAAAGAGTGCCGTGATTGACTGGTGATGTCTGCCTTGGCCTGAACCAAGTACAGTACATTACAGGAGCCAAGTGGTTGCCATGACAGTGAAAAAACCATTGACATCTTGGAGCATTTCTTGGGTGCCCAGCCTTGGGCCACATGCCTTATCCCGTCAGTTCCTCTCTGCAGTTCTGTGAGGCAGGCCCTGTTATCCTCACCCTGGTTTACAGAAGAGGAGACAGAGGCCTAAGGAGGTTAAGCCTCGTGCTCAAGGCCACGGGCTCAGAACAAGGCCTGTGTCGGGGACAGGTCCTTGACCATCACACTCTTTGGCACCAGTGGGGCAGCTGTGTCCCAGTTCCAGGCCAACTCTGTCCCCAGGAAATGCCTGTGGTCGTGAATGTTACTGGTTGGCCTCAGTTTCCTCATCTGATAAGTGGGGCTGTGTGATGTCTTGGGTTCCTTCTGGCTGTGAAGGTTGTTCTGGTTTTGAGGAGAGGGTCTACAAAGGGTCAAGGTGGGGGAGACTGGAGGAGGCAGAGTCAGGTGTAGAGGGCAAGATTGGAGAGGTGCGAACGAGCCCACTGCCCCTCGTCTGCTGTCTTCCCAGAGCCCTGAGTGGACGGCTGCGCCTCGGTCTGGCAGAGCAGTCGGTGCTGGCTGCCCTCGCTCAGGCTGTGAGCCTCACACCCCCAGGCCAAGGTGAGCCCTGTGGCCAGTCCCTGTGCCCGCCACTTGAGGTAACCCGGGCTGCCCTTCTTCCCAGAAGTCCACGCGCTCCCCAACGTGATCCTGCCTCCCGCTGCCACTCCAGGCGCCTTCCCTGAAAACAGTGTCCCCGGCACTGAGTTTACATTCCTTGCCATGCAACACTTCACCCGCTGTGGATCCTGGGGTAGCTGAGGGGGTCGGACCATCCCAAAGGCTCTTCTCGTGGGTCTTGTCTTAGAATTCCCCCCAGCCATGGTGGATGCTGGGAAGGGCAAGACAGCAGAGGCCAGAAAGACGTGGCTGGAGGAGCAAGGCATGGTCCTGAAGCAGACATTCTGGTGAGTTCCAGGGGCCGTGACCAGAGTGAGGGGGTCAGGGAGCCGGAGGAGCCATGGGTGACGTGGGAGAGGCCAGTGGCTGGCATGCATCAGTGACCATCATGGGGCTGGTGACAGAGCACACGGTGGTGATCTAGACACGATTGGTGCTAGGCACAAGGATGGTGACAGATTGGGAAGGTGGCCAACAGTGAAGGGTCAGTGACACAGGGAAGGGGAGAGGTTAAGAGAAATGCTGACAGCAGATTAGAGCAGCAGATGGGACTGCACATGTGGAAAGGCCATAAGAGGTGAGGAGAGGGGCTGGGGACTGATGGGTCAGGACATCTGTGGAATGATAGTGAGCACTCCAGGGAGAACTACATGGAGGGACCTGCTAGCAGCTGACCCAGGGCTGGCCACAGTGAGATGGCTCCAGATGGGTGGTGATGGCAGCTCAGACCAAGAGAGACAGAGCCAGAGTGATGTATAGTGACACTGAGGGAGGACCATCACAGAGACAGCAGAAACAGGGTGACAGGAGGAGTCAGGGATAGGTGGGACCAGACCCAGGAACAAGGTGACAGACAGGCAGAAGTGGATATTGCAGCTAGAGCGTGGAGTATCTGGAAAGACGCCTCCCACTTTGTTCTTCCCCTGCCCAGTGAGGTACCTGACCTGGACCGGATTGTCCCCGTGCTGCTGGAGCATGGCCTGGAGCGGCTCCCGGCGCACTGCAGTCTGAGTCCAGGTATGAGCCATCCTGGGGCCCTGTGAAAGCCTGACACAGCTGACTCCTGAGTCCGGAGTGCTGGGGCTGGCCCTTCAGGCTCCCCTGGCCTTGGCTTCCGCCCTCCAGGGCAGCTGTGAGGTGCCCACTCCTACGCACCCCTCTAAGAACCTGCAGACTCCTCCTCCTTGTCCATGAGGATGGGACCCTGTTCCCTGGTGCTCAGACCCATTCCTTTTCTCCTTGGAGCCCCTTCCCACCCCCATCCCGGTATTAGATCGGGTGTAGATGAAGCTGCTGGAGCAAAGATACCCCAAAAGGCAGTGGCTCAGGCCAGACAGGAGCTCTTTCTCTCATATGAGTCCAGAGGAAGGCAGGCGGCCAGGGAGGGCACTTGGCTCTGCTCCAGGGATCACCCAGGGACCCAGATTTCTTCTGTCTTGTCACTTTGTCATCCCAAGTTGTCACCCTCATGTACATAATGATAAATGGCTCACATCTCTGTTCTGGATTTCAAGCTGAAGGAAAAGAAAGAGAAGGAACAGCCAGATTGCTTGTGAGGGTGTGACCCAGACCTTGCACACATCACCCCAATGTGCAGGTAGCAGTCATCACACAATTAGCAGTCGCGCCACCATCTCCTATGACTCACCCTCTCTCCCCGCTTCCAGGGGTCCCCCTGAAACCAATGTTGGCTCACCCGACCCGGGGCGTCAGCGAGGTCCTGAAACGCTTTGAGGAGGCAGCTTTCACCTGCGAGTACAAATACGATGGGCAGAGGGCACAGGTATGAGGCCGGACGCATCCCTTCAGCAGAAAGGAAAGTGAAGTGCCAAGGAGCAGGGGCATGGGGGCAGTCAGACCCCAGCCCAAAGCCGGCCTCTGCCGACTGCCCATGTGACCTATGCATCTCGCGGAGCTTAGCTCCCACCTGTGTGCAATGGGTGTGATAACCACCTCACTGGCTTATCTGAAAATCAATTTTGGGCCGGCCGAGTGGCTCAGTTGGTTAAGAGCTCGCTCAAGAGTTTGAGCTCTGAGCAACAGCGGTTTGAGTCCAGCCCGAGCTGAGCAGCTGCTGAGCTGCCAACAGGTAGCAGGATGGCTCAGCCAAAAAAAAAAAAAAAAAAAAAAAAAAAAAATTATAAAAAAAAGGAAAATCAATTTTATTTGATAAAATTGTCAAAATTCCTGACCCACAGCAGTGAGAGCTCAAAAAATGGCAGCTGCGCTCGTGCCTTGCTGGTGCGTTTGTTCATTATAACAGGCGCATGCGTAACTCTTGGTGCAGTTATGTACGCCTGCGTCCTGTGACCCAGTGCTTGACACACCCTGTCCAGTCTGTAAGGATGCTTGTGGTGGCTTTAGTGTCCAGGCTGGGAGTTGGGACCATATCTGTGTTCATCGCTTGGGGAGGGGTGAGCAAGCATTGAGGGTGTTACCCTGTGATGCTTTGAGGCAATTACAAGCAGTGGAGTTGACGGACCCTTGGTATCATAGATGGACCTTCAAAATATAGTGCTGAGAAAAGAAAAAGACACAAAATGGTTTACAGTAGTGACAGTGATTTAAAATATATATGTACATACATATGTTTTAAGTCATATATATTATATCCCACACGCAACTATTTCTTGAGGTAACATGCATATAAGATGGCATAGATGGAGCTCTGCTTGAGGACCGTGACCAGACTGCATTGAATAAGTAAATTAACAGAGAAACTCAGGATGATATTCACAGCATAACAACATCCACACAAATCAACATATACACACAGCAAGAAAGGAGTAAGGATTGGAATGATGAAGAAAAGATGGTGGGGGCTTCCACAAACGAGTGGGAGGTGATGTTTGAACAGAGATGATTTGCTCAGGCCTCTGAATCAGCTTCTCCTTCAGAGCTTCTGGAACCTTCTGCCAGTGAAAGTGGGGTCAGAAGAGAAAGGAGGGGCCAGCTGGGGTCGACTGGGCTCTGATTTCCTCTCCCCTCTCCCACTGTCGCAGATTCATGTTTTAGAAGGCGGGGAGGTGAAAGTCTTCAGCAGGAATCAGGAAGACAATACTGGAAAGTACCCCGACGTCATCAGCCGCATCCCCAAGGTGGGCGTGTGTCACCTGCTTTCGCTTGGCAGGGGCTGTATTTACTGGTGCATAGAATAGAGGCCCGTCCTGGCCAGCTCGGCACAGCAGGGGGGTTATTGGAACTGTGTTCATATGTGTCTGGTTGGCATCAGGTCGTCCGTGCACCTTGAGAGCAACTGAAGGAAAGGCAGTTTGTTTCCTTGGGTCTGTCTTTGGCCTCATCCTCCACCTCTCACCAGGCCTGGGCCTCCCCCTTCCTCTTTCAGATTAAACGTCCGTCAGTCACATCCTTTATCCTGGACACTGAAGCCGTGGCTTGGGACCGGGAGAAGAAGCAGATCCAGCCATTTCAAGTGCTCACCACCCGCAAACGCAAGGTAGCCTCACCGCCTGCCATGGTCCCACACTCCCTCATCTGCTTCCTGGTCCTGCACCATCTCCAGGGGGCAGAGTGTCAGTCAGGATGCAGGGCTCAGCCTATTGCAACATGGCTGCCACAGCTCCAGCCATTGCTTTCTCATCCTGCATGTCAAGTAGGACAGGGGAAGAGCTATTTTCCTACCTCTCTCTGTTTCATTAAGAAACAAAGCCTGTTCCAGGAGCCCCCACACCCTGTATCCCAGCAAACTTCTTTACTCTTATTGGCCAGAATCATATCATGTCACCATCATTAGCTGCAAGGGAGGCTGGGGGAGGAAATACCTGGCAAAGGGGAATGAGGTTGTTGGGATCAGCTGAGAGGCATCACAGTTTGGTGCCTGGGGCCACCAGCGTTGCCACCGTCACAGGTGTGCGACCTGTTAGCTGGGGAGAAGGGGAGAGTGGAAGGTGACAATGGTGTCTGCCTCAGGCACGATGGGAGGGGAGCCAGCCAGGCCCTGGCTCACCTTTCCCACCACTGCCCTCCATTCTGCCCCAAACCAGGAGGTGGATGCAGCCGAGATCCAGGTGCAGGTGTGTTTGTATGCCTTCGACCTCATCTACCTCAATGGAGAGGTGAGTTCCGGCTTCACTTCCTGGGGCGGCCAAGGGGTGAAGGGGTGGTGTATGAGCTTGGGAGCCAGTGGTCTGAGTTTCATTTCTGACTCTGCCATGTCACTGAGCTGGGAGGCCACCCTGGGGCAACATTTATCAAAGTGTGGTCGGAGGACCCCTGTGGGGCTTAGGGAGGCCCTTCCTTTTCCAACTTCCCATCTGTGAGGTGGGTTTTCTTCATGTACTGTAGCCATCTGAGTGCAGAAGCAGATGTAAGAATCCAATCTCAGGCCAGATGTTAAAGTATTTTCCTAAATGTAAAATAATGCCCCCTTCTCACTTAATTTTTTAAAAATGTAGACATGTTTCATATAAAGGTGGGGTTAATGTATTGGATTTATTTATTTTTTAATGAACTAATGTTTTTGAGATATCTCACTTTTAATATGGTCAATGTGAAAATGGTATAGTATTTTTGCAGTTTTGTGTTTTGCTTTGAAATCTGTGTTCCATCCGGAATTTGCGTGTGGGTGCGCGCGTGCACATCAGGCAGGAAGTGGGTGATCTGCTCAGTTCCCCTCTGTGCTCATTGCTTCCAGTTCCTCTCCTGTTATTTTGCAGGGCAGGTCTCACGCTAGTTCCTTCCGAGTAGTGACTGTAAACCGCTTTCACTGCTTGTCCTCCAAATGGACACTTAGGCTTTTCCCATCAACAGTGTTTTTCTGTTGTAAAATATTCATCCCAGCAAATATTTTGTACAGAAAGATGAGAGAACAACCATAATTGTTAAGTGAGTAGACTCCAGAATCAGAACACCTAGGCCGTGTATCCCAACCACACACTTCCCAGCTGGTGACTTAGGGCAGGTGACTTAACCTCTCTGAGCCTCTGATCAGAGCGTGTCTGAAAGGTCAGCTGAGTTGTGCTGCCCAGCGCTGCAGCCACTAGCCCCACGTAGCAGCTGAGCACCTGAAATGTGGCAGGTCTGAACTGAGATGTGCTCGACGGATAAAATATATATGAACTTGGAAGGCTTAGTCCAAGAAAAGATCAGCCAAAATACTTTATTAATAATTTTTATATTGATCACATGTTGAAATGATACTATTTTAGACAGTGGGTTACATAAGATACATTATTAAAGTTAATAATGTATTTCACCTATTTCTTTAGAATGTGGCTCCAGAAACTCTAAGATTTAAAATGTCACATGGTGTGTCTGTTGATCAGCACTGGTTCAACTAGTCTCAGGCGTGCTCCCAGCACCGTGCCTGGCATAGATTGGGCAGTTAAGACAGTCTGCTGCTGCTCCGTCACTGCTACAAGCACCTTTTTTCAGAACCTTCCCTTAGGATAGAGTCGGGGAAAGAACCGAGACCTAAAGGGAGTGAATGAGTTCAGGGCTGTTGAGACACTGCCACGTTTCTGTCCCCGCGCAGAGATGAAACAGGCCACCCCAGGAGGAGTGAGTTCCCCGTGTCAGGGAGCATCCCACCTCTGCCTGGCAGACGAGGGCCAAGCCTCCCTGGGGATGGATGGAGGGCCGAGCTAGGTGACTTCTTTCCTCTTCCTCCTTTCCTCGCTCTGCCCCCTGCTTCCCCCGGATGTGCTCAGCCTGCTAGATGGTTTGCAGGAACAAGGCTTCCTGCCAAATGCAGCTTTGAATCTGTTTGAGGGATTTCCAGCAGGGGTGTGCCTGATCCTCAGAACTTAGAGCATAAAGGGTGTGGTTAATTCAATCAAGGCTAATACGGGCATAGAGAGTGGGTTAATTTCCACAAGGCTGGTGAGTTTGCTTTTCAGTATAAGCCGGCAGTGCTTTCCCGGGCATAGATTCAGCCTAACTCGGGGCTCCGCACCCTGTGGCCCAAGAGCCAGACCGTCCCATCAGCTTCGTTCCAACAAAGAAAGTTTTGTTGGAATGCCACCACACCCATTGCTTACTCATCATCTGTGGCTGCTGCTTTCTGTCCTACAAGGGCAGAGTTGAGCCGTTGTGACGAAGACAGTAGCCTTCAGAGCTGAGAATATTTGCCATCTGGTTCTTGATGGACAAAGGTTGCCAACCCTTGGATTAACATAGAAGATATTCTCTCAGAAACATGTCTGTGTTACAACCTAATGGTCATTGGCTTCTTTGCGCCTTTATCCAACCGGTGTTAAAAAAGGAGCCGCAGTCAGAGCTAAAAGAGACCATTCAAGTTCCAGCAGGGCCGTTGGCCCCCCGGCTTATGCCCCTGAGATCGCCAGAATCTAAATGGTCTGCAGCCCCCTGGCTGCTGACCAGCCCTGCTCTTAAAATTCTCAGCATCCCTCCCTCGGCGTGGCTCCTTCCTGTCAAGGCTCTCCATAGCTACGTTGTGACTTGTGACAATTATGCTGCCGTTTCGGGGCTGAGTCTCTTTCTTTCCCTCCCTCTCGTGCCCTGCCCCCTCAGTCTCTGGTACGTGAGCCCCTTTCCCGACGCCGGCAGCTGCTCCGGGAGAACTTCGTGGAAACGGAGGGCGAGTTTGTCTTCGCCACGTCCCTGGACACCAAGGACACAGACCAGATCGCCGAGTTCTTGGAGCAGTCTGTGAGAGGTGAGGGCACCCGCCACTCCCCCCGCTGAGGTCTCGTCTGCCTGTTCCCTGCCCCCTGCCCCACCCTAGACAATTTGCCCAGAATCCTGCCTGCTCCGGCCGCTGTGAGCCAGGGCTTCCCAAGGGCCTCGCTTCTGTGTCTCCTTCAGACTCCTGCGAGGGGCTGATGGTGAAAACCCTGGATGTCGATGCCACCTACGAGATCGCCAAGAGATCACACAACTGGCTCAAGGTGACTCTGTCCTCCGCCCAGCCTTCCCACTGAGCCCTGGATCTGGACACCTTCCTGACCTGGCAGTTCACTTCAGGTCCCCACACTTCACCCTGTTTGAGCTCAGGAACCTTTCTCGAACCCTCCTGCCTTCCACTGCAGCCAGCCTCAGGCCTTCTCCCCTCTGTCCCTGTTCACGAATTCACCAGGAATTGGTTGAGAGCCGCCCCAGCTAAGTGTCCCGACAGCCACGATGGGAAAGCCAGATGAGGTTTCTTTCTCCCTGAGCTCACCTTCCATGTAGGGCAAGGAGGTCAGCCAGGACACGAGGGAGATAGTCAGGTACCAAGCTCCCTCCTTGTGGAGGAAGAAGTCAACTCAGGGCCAGCGAGGGTCTAGCAGGACTTTGGGTAATTGGGAAAAGCTTCCCCAGAGGTGATGTTTGGGTCGAGACATGGATGACAGGAAGGGTTTGGCTACACGAAGATTGGAGTAGAGCATCTAGGTGGGATGGGCAGCAAGTGCAAAGGCCCTGAGGTAGGCACAAGCCTGGTGTGTGCTGGGAGCAAGGCAATCGAGGTGTGAGGTGAGGTCAGGGTGGACAGCAGGTCCCAGGTCACATAGCATGTCAGGGGCCATGGTAAAATAAAACCGGGTTTTTCTCTTAGAGTTTTGGGACACCAGCAGGGTTTGTAAGCAGGGAGCCACATGGTCTAGTTGTCATTTTGCACAGGTCCCCTGGCTATCTGTGGATGGTGACGGGTGTGGGGGTGTTGGGCAGAAGCAGGAGCAGCGGGCAGGAGACTCTTGTCTGCTCAGATGATGGAGGCTTGTTGGAGAGGGGGCTTCAGGAGGGGGCAAGAGGATCAGAGCAGGAGATGGTGTGGAGTTGAGCTGGGCAGGCCTGCTGACTGGTACCCTGTGTATTTACGAGTTGTCTGGGGTCTGTTTCCACTCCTAGACTGTAGGCAGCTGTGAGGGTATGAACCTTTCCTGTCTTAGGAAATAGTCACTGTGCATCTTCCATGCTGAGCTCCTGCCGGGCACAGTTGGCTCTTAATTAGTGTTTCTGGAATGAATGGATAAATGTTCTCTGTATAAAGGAGTGAGTGGACTGTGTCTCTGTAGTGAGGGAAAGGGGGAATCCAGGATGACCCTGAGGTCTTCCCGTCTGACCCTGGGGTCTCCCCTGCAGACCTGTCCCCTCTTTGGCGTCTGCTCTTCCCATTGCAGTCACCTCTTTTCCATTCACTCATTTGCCTAGAAGCCTGTTCCATGTCCAGCCTCCTCATGGCGGCCACCCTCAGTCTTCCTTATGGAAGTTCTCAGACTCACCCCAGCCCCTCGTTAAACCACCGATTACGTGGTGCTCCACCTCATCTCTTGCCTTCCCTCCTCCCAGCTGAAGAAGGACTATCTGGACGGTGTGGGTGACACCCTTGACCTCGTGGTGATCGGCGCCTACCTGGGCCGGGGGAAGCGGGCTGGCCGCTATGGGAGCTTCCTGCTGGCCTCCTATGATGAGGAAAGCGAGGAGCTGCAGGCCATTTGCAAGGTGCCGTGAGCTGGGGCTGACCAAGGAGCAGGGGGAAGGAGATGCCACTCAGCCTGGGGAGGAAGGGCCTGGACCAAGGGGCTTTCGTGTCCTCCTGTGATGGATAATTTTATAATTTACTTTTCTGATCCTATAAGTAACTCTTGCTTCATATAGAAAAATGAGCATGTATAGAAAGATGTAAGGAAGCTGTCAGGAATTGAGTTCAGATAATGGGCTTTAAGTGAGAGAAGGATTTCTTTTTCTCTCATGTAATAAGAGGCCTGGAAGTGGGCAGGCAGCTCTCCGGTGTCATTAGGGGCCCAGGATTTTCACTTTCCCCACTGGTGTTTGTCATGTGCTTTAGGCCTCTTCCTCAAAATGTGGCTGCAGTAGCTCCAGCCATCACGGCCATTCATGCTCGGCCCATGGGCCAGTGAGCAACTTTTGCTTAAGTTGCATTGGTCAGAACTTTGCTCCGTGGCCCACCCACGTCTGCAAAAGAGCCTGGGGAATGTAGTGGGTTTTGCTTTTGTCTAAAGCATTGATCCAACAAATGTGGGGCTTTTGCCATAGAAACAGAATAAGATATCACCTCCGATTCCACTACGCAGAGGCAACCACTAGTAATGTTTGAGGGAATGTTTTATTTTTATTTTTGCAAAGTTGTGATCCTTCTGTATGAGTAATTTTATTTTCTGTTTTTGCCCTATAAGTACTGTATTTCCAATGCTGTCAGATGTATTTAAGTTACGTAGTGGTAACTGTTAGTGTTTTCATTTGCCTTGAAAATAGGACTTTAGTGCTTGTGTAAGAGTTTTCCAATAGCTGGGCCCCAGCTTCTTGAACCAGTCCTGTAGTTGCAGCTTTGTTCTTATTCGTGAATAAGTTAGCACTGCGTATCCGTTAACCCACGTAATCTGTGCTAGAAGGGATATTATAGTTCAAAAATATCTCTGGGCGCCAATCTGTCACCATTTTATAGTATTACTTAGCATAGTTTTCTGAAAGAGTCATTGCTGGGGAGAAAAGGTGAGAAAATTTTTAAGGCTCAATACAAAAAGGGCTTTCTGTTCACATTTTATAGCAGTCGTTTTAATGTCCATCTTGCCATTTTGCTGGCATCAGGGATATTTTCCGGCCTTGACTGTTTTTGGTGGGTGAAAGAAAACTCTTGGCAGTGTTAAGGTTGAAGATGACACCAGTTATGGGGCAGGTGGGATGTTGGGGGGCCCAAGGGCGTGACTTCCTGGTCCAGGGAGACCGAGCAGAAGGAGCAGGGACCACAGCCGGGAGAGTGCTTCCCCATCCGGGATCTGGGAGGGGTTGGCTGGATGCTCAGGAGCTCCCTGGCNTCGCGGCTCGCATTTCTTAAGCGCTTATGCTCCAGGGACAGTCCCAAGCTCTTTATTACCTGTTTACTTACAACAACCCATTGCTTAGCCCCACTTTTCTGATCCTATAAGTAACTCTTGCTTCATATAGAAAAATGAGCGTGTATAGAAAGATGTAAGGAAGCTGTCAGGAATTGAGTTCAGATAATGGGCTTTAAGTGAGAGAAGGATTTCTTTTTCTCTCATGTAATAAGAGGCCTGGAAGTGGGCAGGCAGCTCTCCGGTGTCATTAGGGGCCCAGGATTTTCACTTTCCCCACTGGTGTTTGTCATGTGCTTTAGGCCTCTTCCTCAAAATGTGGCTGCAGTAGCTCCAGCCATCACGGCCATTCATGCTCGGCCCATGGGCCAGTGAGCAACTTTTGCTTAAGTTGCATTGGTCAGAACTTTGCTCCGTGGCCCACCCACGTCTGCAAAAGAGCCTGGGGAATGTAGTGGGTTTTGCTTTTGTCTAAAGCATTGATCCAACAAATGTGGGGCTTTTGCCATAGAAACAGAATAAGATATCACCTCCGATTCCACTACGCAGAGGCAACCACTAGTAATGTTTGAGGGAATGTTTTATTTTTATTTTTGCAAAGTTGTGATCCTTCTGTATGAGTAATTTTATTTTCTGTTTTTGCCCTATAAGTACTGTATTTCCAATGCTGTCAGATGTATTTAAGTTACGTAGTGGTAACTGTTAGTGTTTTCATTTGCCTTGAAAATAGGACTTTAGTGCTTGTGTAAGAGTTTTCCAATAGCTGGGCCCCAGCTTCTTGAACCAGTCCTGTAGTTGCAGCTTTGTTCTTATTCGTGAATAAGTTAGCACTGCGTATCTGTTAACCCACGTAATCTGTGCTAGAAGGGATATTATAGTTCAAAAATATCTCTGGGCGCCAATCTGTCACCATTTTATAGTATTACTTAGCATAGTTTTCTGAAAGAGTCATTGCTGGGGAGAAAAGGTGAGAAAATTTTTAAGGCTCAATACAAAAAGGGCTTTCTGTTCACATTTTATAGCAGTCGTTTTAATGTCCATCTTGCCATTTTGCTGGCATCAGGGATATTTTCCGGCCTTGACTGTTTTTGGTGGGTGAAAGAAAACTCTTGGCAGTGTTAAGGTTGAAGATGACACCAGTTATGGGGCAGGTGGGATGTTGGGGGGCCCAAGGGCGTGACTTCCTGGTCCAGGGAGACCGAGCAGAAGGAGCAGGGACCACAGCCGGGAGAGTGCTTCCCCATCCGGGATCTGGGAGGGGTTGGCTGGATGCTCAGGAGCTCCCTGGCTCTTCCTCTGTGCTTTCTGTGGATACTGGTGAGGCTGGAGTGGGGTGGAGCCGCTGGTGTACACAAATGGGGGTCCTTAGTGGCAGGAGCAGGGAGGAAGTGCCAAGCCCCTGACCTGCCTGTCCTCCCGCAGCTTGGAGCTGGCTTCAGTGACGAGGAGCTGGAGCAGCATCACCAGAGCCTGCAGGTGAGCAGTGTGGCCTCTGCAGCATGCTCTGTGTGCGCAGGCCTTCGGCCTCCACCATCTGGGGGTTTGGTGTGGACAGAGCAGCGGACAGTGGAGCGGCTTTGGAGCCGGGTTCAAGTTCCTGCTCTGCTGGCCACTAGCCAGTGAGGCTGGTCATAGAGCCTCATCGCCCCAAGCTCAGTGCCTCAGCTGCCCCGGGAGGTCGGGGGCAGTCATGGGGCAGGGTGCTATCACGGGGTTCCTTTAGTTTATCCTTAGGGTGCTAGCTAAGCTTCTAGTAAGTGGGAGTTTTGTCGTCATGTTGCAGGTGTTTTGGGTGTGACTGTCTTTCTGTGTCTTGGTGTCTCTGGTCCTGTCTCTATCCATTTGGTTCTTTCTCTCTCTCTGGGTCTCTGTCCCTCTCTCTGCTGCTTTTAGTCTTTTTTTATTTATTTTTCTTTAGCTGAGCCATCCTGCCACCTGTTGGTGGCTCAGCGGCTGCTCAGCTCGGGCTGGGACTCGAACCGCTGTTGCTCAGAGCTCACACTCTTTTTTTTTTGTTTTGTTTTGTTTTTAGCTGAGCCATCCTGCTACCTGTTGGCAGCTCAGCGGCTGCTCAGCTCGGGCTGGACTCGAACTGCTGTTGCTCAGAGCTCAAACTCTTGAGCGAGCTCTTAACCAACTGAGCCACTCGGCCGGCCCCTCAGAGCTCACACTCTTGAGCGAGCTCTTAACCAACTGAGCCACTCGGCCGGCCCTGCTTTTAGTCTTTAATTTCTTGTCTCAGCTCCCAGGGTCTCTCTCTCTTTCATCTCTTCCTTTATCCCATTCCCCCCACCCTGGACTTTAAGGGGTGTCCGTGCCTCTGTTTTCCTCCCATTTTCCTCACTTCCCAACCCCCAACCCTCGGCCTTGACTCAAGACCCTTTCTTCCATGTTCCCGCTGCTCACTGCAGGCCCTGGTGCTGCCCACCCCACGCTCCTATGTCCGGGCAGACGGTGCCGTGGCCCCCGACTACTGGCTGGAGCCCAGCGCCGTGTGGGAGGTCAAGTGTGCTGATCTCTCCCTCTCCCCCATCTACCCTGCCGCCCGGGGCCTGGTGAGTGACTGAGAACCTGGAGTAGACCCTCCAAAGGAATTCCAGATGGGAGAGTGGGGAGGGGACCCTGGAGACGTCTGTTTCCGGGGTGATGATTAGGAAAACTCTAGCTTGCATTTTATGTGGGTGTCATATAATGGAATCAAAAGTTTCCTTTTTTAAAAAAAAAAGAAATTCCCATGAGTAGAAAGAAAACAGTAAAATTGCTGTCTGTATTATAATCTCACATTCAACTCGTAGGTAATTTTTGAAAACAGTTCTTTTAAGTAAAAGCTTAGGACACTTCCTGATGCATTTCTTTCTCAGCTGTAATTAATTTTCATGCCACCAAGCTTTAAAATTCCTTCTGTCACTAGTGGTTCAGTGCTCAGTACCAGCTAAAGGATCAGGTGCTTGGGAACACACGCCCAGTGACCAGCACTGGGACGGCACTCCCTGAGAAGAATGGGAACTCTCACATTTAATCTTCCTTTGAGAGCTCTTCTGATCCTTCAAAATCTAGCATGTGCTTTTCTGGTTAGAAGCAGATTTCCATTTAAAGGCGGAACTCATTTTTGAATCTCATTTTTTTTTTTTTTTTTAATTTCTCACTCATGTTCTACCTTAGACAGTCAGGGTCCCCAGGTAACAAGTGACGGGAGCAGCGTGTATCGAGCATTTATGTGCAGCGGGCACTGCTAATAAGCACGACACTTGTGTACACTTATTTAATCCTCACAAAAACACCAAATAGCCCCATTTTACAAATGGGGAATTAGAGTCCCAGGGAGCTCAGATATCTGGTCCCGGGTCTCATGACCCCTGGGAATTGGGAGCTGGGATTTGAACCCCACAGTCTGGTTCCAGAATCCATTCCCCGACTCGGTGCTGTTCTGCCTCTCAGCCCTCACATTAATAACAGCATAGATAACAGCATCGCGGCTCGCATTTCTTAAGCGCTTATGCTCCAGGGACAGTCCCAAGCTCTTTATTACCTGTTTACTTACAACAACCCATTGCTTAGCCCCACTGTACGGATCGGAAACTGAGGCCAGAGGTGCAGGAGTAGGGGGGTCTTTGACAGGGAATTGCTGCTGCAGTGGGGACCGAGGTCCCCATCATCACCCCTCCTTCCCCAGGTGGACAGCGAGAAGGGGATCTCCCTACGCTTCCCTCGGTTTATTCGCATCCGTGAAGACAAGAAGCCGGAGGAGGCCACCACCAGTGCCCAGGTGAGGCCTTCAGAAACGGGTGGGTCATCCAGGGCGGGGGCTTGTGTGGCTCGACCAGCTTCTTGGAGAGGTGGAATGTGGCCTGGAGTGGCGGGCAGGTGGACAGCTCGAGGATTCTGACTGCCCGTCTCTCCCCACCCGACTCCCCCAGGTGGCCGGACTGTACAGGAAGCAAAGTCAGATTCAGAACCAGCAGAGTGCTGACTTAGATTCCGACCTGGAGGATTTCTACTAGGCCCTGCCCTCTGGGACCGGGCTGGGGGACGCAGGCATGGCGCCCCCGTGGTTAAGCACATCTGGTGTGCAGTCACACCACGTGGTGTGTGTGCGCGTGTGTGTGTGTGTGTGTGTTATGTGTGTGTGGTTCATTTCAGCCGGGGCCTGGGATTCACCTGGTTATTTTTTTCAATAAATAATTATTGATCACCTATTCTGCGTCAAGGCCTGTGCCAGGCTCTGGGGCCCGCTCTAATAGCTCACACTTTGGTAGCGTGTAGCAGTGAGTCAGGAATTGCCGAAAGCAGCGCCTTCCAACAGAACCTTCTGCAGTGATGAAATGTTCCACCTCCACGCTGTGCAGCGTGACAGCTACCAGCCACCTGCAGCTGGCAAGCTCTTGAAATGTGGCCAGTGTGACTGAGGACTCAATATTCCATTTATTTTTAGATAGATTTCTTTTATAAATAGCCCCATGTGTAGTGGCTGTTGTATTGGACGGTGGCAGTCTCAATTCCATATGTATATACACTCATTTAACCTCCCCACGACCTAACCAGGTGGGCACGGTCACAGCTGAGGATGGACGGGGCTCACCCCGGCCGCAGCTGGGAGTGTCAGCACCAGGGGTCTGACGCAGCAGTCTGGCTCCTGGCCCCACACCGGTAGGGCCCAGGCCCCATCCTCTTAGGAGACAGTAAGTGCAGCGACTTGTGTGAGACTCCCAGCTCTGCCACCCACCATCTGGTGACGAGGCCTGGCCTCAGAATCCCCAGTAGTTTTCCAGACCTGACCCTGTGTGGCAAACGATGGCCGGATGTGTTTTGCTCACCCTTATGTCCCCAGTCCCTAGCACAATGCCTGCCATGTGGTTGGTACTGTTTTTCCCGATCAAAAAGCAGACTTGGTTGTGGCAGCCCTTTTCTTCTTCCTGCCTTGACTATGGATGTGATGGTTGGAGCTGGGGCTGCCACCTTGTGATCATGAGGACCAAGCCAGGAGCGTCACAGAGAAGGGAGCCCTGACAACTGTTAACCAGTGAACCAAGGGCAGCAGCTGCCTAACTGGGCTTGTCAAGGGGGTGGGAGGGCGGGGGTCGGGAGAAGGGTGATTATGCCGCTGTTAAAATGGCTTGTGTTTCTCAGCTAAAAGCTTTCCTAACTGAAAGAGCTCTGCCTTAAACGACTGGCAAATCAATGTGCATCTGTATTTATGAAGTTCAAATAAAATGTTTAAGGCAAAAACAATACTTGTTTGATTAGATATTAAATATTGCATGTCTGGGGATCCCCATGGCTCCCTTAGGTGTGGAACTGGGTCTCCTGATGAAAGCTGGGCCTGGGACACGCTCTTCCTCCCCACAGCCATGCAGGGCCCCTGCGAACACAGCTCCCGAAGCAGCCATGGCTGCCATGTCCCCTCTGCCAGGGCTGGGCAAGGACGTCCTCACTCACAAAAGACCCTCATGACAACCCCACTGGTGGGTACTTTTATTATTCCATATAACAGATGAGGACACTGAGGCCCAGGACTGTAAGTTATTTTCCCTGGGCCCACTGTCTGGGAGATGGAGGACCAGGGTCTGGTCCCAGCAGTGCCACTAACTATGTGCCTTCTGAGAGCCTTGTGGGCCCCTGCGAGGATGTGTTACCTTATCCCCAGGCAGGGAAGTGACACAGTAAGGTCTGGGAGTGAACGATCACGCTGATGGCTGGAGTACGAGGATTCTGAAGAGATGACCGAGGCATTGGGGAGAGCACAGAGACCATCCCCTCGGCGAAATCCTTTTCTTTATAAAGATTGTGGAAACCCATCAAGGGGAATGATACTTGGACCTGGGCTCTGGGCGAAGTATGCAAGAAGAAGAGTTGCAGGAGCAGTAATTCATACTGGCATATGAATTGAAATGCATCATTTTGATTTGTCACATTACTCATGATGTTCGTGTTAATCGTTTGAGAAAGATTGTTTCTGCCTGGTTTCCCCACGAAAAAGTGACTCCTTGGAAATTAGTACAAAGGAGGTACTTTGAGCCGTGTAAATATTATCAAACTTTTCACTTTATATGTGTATGGACTCCTGGTGTCCTGACCTGTATGCCGCGTCCCATGCAGCATGGGCAGTGGTGAGTCAGAGGGGCGGCTAAGAGTTAAAGAAACACAAGAGACAAGGATAGAGTTAAAGCGAGGCCAGGGGACTGCAGTTCTCTCTCTCTGGAACTGAGTCCCCGAGGCAACGTAGCTTTTATTAAACTTAAAAGGAGTGAACCTTTTTTTTCCCCTCAAGTCGTGTGATAAGTGCCTTATGGCTATTTTCCATCAACCAGCCCCATTGTATTCCAATACCTGCTGTGCCTTCATACTCCCACACACACAGCCCCCAGGAGGGTGCAGCTGTTACCACGGCCATAAAGATAAGGGAGATAACTGACATCATTCCACCGGATCCCAGCTTTCTGAGACACTCCCTTGAGAAAGCTTTACCGAAATCACTCCACAGGCCACTTCTTCGTGACCTCGTTAAGTCAGGGGTTGGTGTGGGGGGTTGGTCAAGGATGAAGCTGTAAGGCAACACTGTATAATTTGTTGTTACTGGTTTTGATTTTCAAATGTGGCCCCTGATATGGCCAGTGGCACTTCAAGCCAACCTCTGTGTCCTTCTGACATAGCCCCATCACTCTGAGCACATTTGCTTTATGGCACCACGGCGTGTTCTAAGCTGATCTTATTATACTTGTCCTGCTCCAGAAATGGAACCAGTCAATTCCCCTAGGAGTCTTGGTTCTTTTTCTCCAGAGAATGGTATTTGGAAGTCAAGATCTGGATGTGAGGCGTGCTCGTTATATCAGCTTGTGTCCTCTTAGAGAGCTAGACAATATGGTCAAGTGTCCCTACACACACAGTGACAGCTGTGTTTATTTGTATCCCTCTCTGTATACTGCAGTCCGTGATGACACTCCGGTGCCTCCAGCTCTAGCCCAACACCTGAGCTCCTTCGACTTGGTCCCTTTCTATCTTCGCTGCCTTTTCCAACAGTGAGAGCCCTGTTCCCATTGTCCTTAATATACTCCCTGTGTGTAACCAATCTCCCTCCTCCATTGTCATCCCACCCCTGTGGGGACGCCTTTCTGCCCCTGATCTGGCTTCAGCACCCTACACCATGCTTCCTCCATGAGTGGACATCCTCAGTACAAACCCCCACCCTCGGCTATGATACCTGCATGGGATACCCCCCTCACTGAGCTCATGCTGCCACATCCATGGGTTCACCCTCACCTTCCCAGACCCCCACGCTGAGCTGAGTGGCTCCTCTGTGGGGACTCCTGCCTCACTCCACCATCCTATTTGAACTCTGGCTCTCCAAACCGATGGCCCCCGGTCCCCTCCCCTGCCAACCCCCAATGTGGACACCCCCATCGCCTCCTTGGGCTCTGAAATCACCACGACTTCTCATCCTCCCTGACCAGCATGGCGGGGGGACCAGCATGGACGCCTACCTTGCTCCTCCCGCTGAATTACTCAGGAAGAAAGGACGGGAGGAGATGAGCAGAGGAAGAGCAAATACCACTCACTCTCTTAACCACCGGTGCCTGCCTGCCTCCTTCCTGAAGTCAGAGTGTCTCAGATCTCCTTTCCAGCCCACGTGCCTGACTTATGCAAAAGCTCCTTGAGGCCAGGGGCCGTGTCCTCTCCATCTTCACATGCCCAAAGGCCAGCAGAGGCCAGGCTTAGAGCGAGCACTCAACATGCCTTCTGCTCTAATCCCCACTTTTGAAACTATCCAATTCTATTCTGGGGATAAAAAAGGTCAGAGCCTGAGCCTGGCTCCTCCCCTCGTCCCACTCAAACCAGATGGGGAGGCAGGAAGGGCTCTGATCCCTCTCCAACCCCAGGAGAGATTTCCAACCCAGCTGTCACAGCTCTATGCCACGGGGACCAAGGGAGAGGCTAAGAGAGGCAGGAAGAGTTGGCAAAGAAGTGATAGAGAAGATAAGGAGGCTGAACCACCAAGGGGGACGGGACGGAGGGGGAGCCATCTTGAGACTGGTGCCTGCCGAGCTCTGCCCAGACCTCCATGCAGTTCCCCATGGGCCCCGCCTGCATCTTCTTGAGAAAAGGCATCGCTGAGAAACAGAGGGTGAGGTGGGGGACAGTGGGAAGGATGGAGGGCAGGGCTAAGGGAGCTGGGATATGGGAAAAGAAGGGGCATGATGGATGCAGTGGAACAAGGGGGACCGGTGGGGAGAGCATGAGCTGAGAAGGCAGAAGAATCCCCAGGCACATGGTGGGGACGTGTGGGTCAGTGAAATTGGAAGTCAGGAGCCAAAGGGGGAAAGGTGATGGGGGAGAAAAATATAAAAGGGAAACTGGGATGATGTCATTATTGACACGCATCATCATTTTTTTCTATGGACACCTGTAGTGATGATGATGATGATGACAGTAGCTGCCACTTATTAAGTCATTGCTGTGTGCCCAGCCCTGTGTGAAGGGTTTGCATTCTGATGTCATTTAATTGTCAGAACAACTCATGAAGGCGGTTATGCTTTCATTCCCGTTTTACAGATGTGGAAACTGAGGCTCTGAGTCATGAAGTCACTTGCTTTAAGCTTATGCAATTAGTAAGTGGCAGGGCCAGGTCTGTTTGGTTCCAGTGGGCGTGCTTTTAATTGTTAGGCTTTAGATCACCCCTTCCCAATAAAATAAAATAGAAAAGGAGGGAGGGGACTTAGGGGGAAGGGAATAGTAAGCTAGGGGAAAGGGTCCAAGGATAAAGGGAGCTAAGGGGTGAGAGACCAGAGGTTGGTGGAATTTCCCAGGTGATGTGCCTCGTAGCCAAGCCTGACCCTTCAAGTATGTGCAGGAGTGGGTGATGGCAACAACGACTGGGAATTCTTAAAGGTCTTAGGAATCGGTTGTGCTGGCATCGATCATCCTGGATGCCACTGGACACTGGTCCCACGCCAAGGAATTCTAACTCTTGGCAGAAAGGATGGAAGCGGGTGCGAAAAGAGTCAATGGGGTGTAATGGAAAGAATTGTGACCTGGGAGTCAGGAGCCCTGAATTCAAATCCCAGTGCTCCCTGCAACTGGCTTGCTGTACAGCCTTGGGGGAGCGATTTATGTCCCTTGTGAGCTTTGTGACTTTGGGCAGGTTCCTTAACCTCTCTGTCCCTCAGCGTCCTCTTAAATAAGACGGGAATGATATGTGGATTAGCCTCACAAGAGCGGTTCTGAGGTTTAAATGAAATGATTGCGGAACCTGCCTGGCACTGAGTCAGCATTCTGAACACATCAGCTGCGATTGGGAGTCTCCCTTTCTTCCTCTGGAGATTGGGGCCATGGCCTGCAAGCCCCCTTTCTGCACAACGGGGTGGATATCTCTTTGGGAAAGGCAGGAGAGAGATCAAGATTCAAGGATGGGCGAGAGGAAATGAGAGGAGTGAGGAAGAGGGAGAGAAGCAAAGAGCTGTGGAATGGGAATCATGGGATGGGAGAAGGAAGGGGAAAGGAGGAGAAGGAAACAGGAAGGGGTGAGGAGTAGCTTGGGAAAATGCGGGGTCACGTTTGGAGATTGAATGTTGGATCCTGACCCTCTCTCCAAATTCTCTCTCCTGCATTCCTCTCCAGGAAAGACCACTGGGACAAGATGAGATTGAAGGTAACACTTGCTCCCCCAAATGTCCCCTCTTCGCCATCCACTCACTTGCCTGCTGTCTGTCCCTTTGTGCATTTCAGCATAAGTCCCCTCAGATGAAAATTTTACTCGGCTCTCTTTTTCCATTTAACTGTTGATTTTGTAGAACTCTTTCTCATGGCAGTGTAGGTACCTCCCAAAGTATTTAGAAGGCATACCCATTCCCAAGTGTCTCAGAAACCCAGGAGTGACACAGTGACACATGAGTTTTAGAAGGTTAGTGTTTTCTTTTGATGGTTTCGAAGTTTCCCATAACTTCACCCAAGAATTGGAATGACGTCAGTGCTACCATTTGGTGGTCTCAGGAATCATTTCTCTTGCTAACACATTTCATTCATACATCGCTCCCTATAGAAATTTCGGTTTTTCAAAATGTATTCTTGTTTGAAAAGTGTCTAGTCAGTGACTCGTTGATGGTTTCAAGGGATGCCACTCTTCCTCATTGACTGTTTCAAGTTCTTCCCTCTTAACTTTCAGAGCTCCGGGAGGCATTTCTTGAGTTCGACAAGGACCGAGATGGGTTCATCTCTTGTAAGGATTTGGGGAATCTCATGAGGACAATGGGTTACATGCCCACAGAGATGGAATTGACTGAACTGGGGCAGCAGATCCGCATGAACTGTGAGGCCGGGGGGTGGAAGGGATGACTGGGGTTAGGGGAGGGCAAAGGGCGGAAGTGGGAAGGATCTGGGGTTGAGATCATAGAGTTGGAGATAGGGAAGAGGGTCAGAGGGGCTAGAAGTCTAGAAGGAAACAGTTGAGACTATACTAGGGAGACAGCATTTGCAGTGGTTAAAAGGGCAACTTTTAGAGATAGATTTGCGTTCAATTCCCAGTTTTCTTATTTACTAATTGTGGTCATTTTGAAAAGTGAAGCTAACCCCCAATCTTGAGTCTTAGTTTTCCCATTTGTCAAGTGAAGATGATATCACCCCTTACTTTGTGGGATTATAGAAGGATAGATGCTAATACAGGTAAAGGCTTAGCCTCCTTAAATGCTTAGTATTTGTAGATTATTATTATCACCACTAAGATTCATCAGTGGAGCACAAGATTGGAACTGCATTTGGTGCTGGAAACAAACTTAGACTTGGAGCTATTGTTGATGAATAGTGTTGCAAAAAGAATGGATTTATTTTTAGATGGTGACCAAAGCTGATTTTGAGATGGAAGCTGGGATAAAATTGCTATTGGGTTTGCTTCTGGGCATGTTACTGAGTAAACAAGGTTGAAGTCAAGGTCATGATAGATAGTATTCATATCTGGAAGAGACTTTGGTGTTCATTTAATTCATCCTCTTTCTTCTACACATCTACCAATGAGAGAACATGGACCTGAGCCAATTAAGAGATTTGCTCCAGGTCATGTGGACAGTTCATTGTTTCCACCATACCACACTCCATTCACTCCTGTTCAGATTAGAGAGACAAGAGGGCTTGAGCTGGCTGAGAGACAAAGCTCTTAGGGGTCAGAGTGATGGGAGAAGATCTATTTCTTGATCTTGAGGGTAAAGGGTACTGGAGGATGAGGGCATATGGAGTCTGACTAGACCTGCCTCTCCCTTCCTCAGTGGGCGGCCGTGTAGACTTTGATGATTTTGTGGAGCTGATGACCCCCAAGTTGCTTGCAGAAACGGCTGGGATGATCGGTGTCCAGGAGATGCGAGATGCCTTCAAGGAAGTGAGTTAAGAGTTTAATGGGGGTGACTGGTTAGCTTAGTTGGTTAGAGCGTGGTGCTGATAGCACCAAGGTTGCTGGTTCGATCCTCACATGGGCCACTGTGAGCTGTGCCCTCCCTAAAAGAGTCAACTACGCCATTGTAGCATGAAAGCAATGTGCAACCAATGACCATGGCTGTTCCCCAATAAAAAAATTTTTTTTAAAGAGTTTCATAATGCTGGGGGTGGTTGAAGGACACCTCAGAGGTCAATGATTGCTTATTAGCCATGGACAGGACCCACCCAAACCAATTTTCTTTCTAGCTATTGTGGGATTTAGAGGGAAGGAAAATAACATATTCCAAGCACTTGCAATGGATGAACTTCTCTACCTATTTCATCGAATGTAATCCTCATAAATAATAATAGCAGTCATTTACCTTCATCATACATATGAGGAAACTGAGGCTCATGGAAATTACACATCTTATCCAGGATGCTGAAATCTTCAAAACCATGTTAGGACCTCGCAGCTTTGTGCCTGTAGAAGGAAGAAGGAATACAAGCATTTGAGACCCCAGAAGGGGACCCAAAGAAATCATGTGGTTTAACCCACTCGTGGTAGAGATGCTTAAAAAATGAGACCCAGGGAGGGTAGGGGGCTTGCTGAGGTTCACTTCTAACCCCCTGATAAAACGCTTTCCTCACTCCAAGAGCTTTCAGTTATATGAGACAAAAACAAAGAATAATATCATGTTTGGAAGGAAAGACACTGGATCCAGGCAAACGTGGGTCCAAAACCCAGAGAGATCTCTCCCTTCTAGCTGTGGGATTGTCTCTCCCAGCTTCATATAAAGTCATAGAGCTGCAGGGTCCAACAGAACTTCCTGTGGTCACAGAAATGCTCTGTCTGAGACAGGAGCCACTGGCCACTGGTGGCTATCGAGCCCTTGAAATGTGGCGTGTGTGACTGAGAAACTGATTTTTTAATCCTATCGTATTTAGATTCATTTCACTTAAGTTATACATTTAATTTCCATTTATATTCAGTTGGCTATAAATTCAATTTGTTTCCATTGGAAAGTGAATACTCAATTCAATTGTTGGAAAACATTCATTTGGAATGATGTGGGTATGTGAATTTCCTTTTTCACATAAATTTTGTGAAATGTATGCAATTTTCGTATAAATTTTGTGAAACCCAAATACAGATTAAGTATTTCTGGTGACACTTGGTGTCTGAATTGAGAAGGGCTGTAAGTGTACAATACACCCTGGATGAAGACGTAGTGTCCTTAGCTTAGGCACGTTTGTATGCTGAGTGTGTTCGCTAACTGACTAAACACCTAGGAGCATAAGTAAGTACTTGGTACTCCAATGCTAAGTTCTATGAAACCCAGTCTGCCTAAAAAGAAGGTAACGTAGCTCATTAATCACTTTTCAATTGATTACATGCCGAAGTGATGATATTTTGGAGATATTGGGTTAAATAAAATCAATGATTAAAAATAAATTTCACTTGTTTCTTTTCACTTTGTAAATTTAAGGTGGCTACTTGAAATTTTAAAATTACCCCCGAGGCTCGCTCGTGTTGTATTTCTTTTGGGCACGCGGCTCTAGGGGAATCAGATTCCAGGCTGAGGAAGGCGTATCTGAGGAAGAGCAGAAGCCTGGGTACTTGGAGAGGTACAAGCTGGAGAGACAGTGGCATGAAATAAGCAAGGTCTCCGAGCCGCCAAAGGAGCGGGGTCAGGATCTTACTCTGAGTGGGATGGGAAGCCCCTGGAGGGTTTGAAGCAAGGAAGAGTGACAAGGTCTGATGTCTTTCAATTATATGAGACAAAAACAAAGAATAGTATCGCGTGAAGTCCTGATGTGTGGACAACAGACCACGCAGGGCCACAATGGGAGCCCGAGGACCAATTAGGAGACTGTCGCGATAATCCTGACAAGAGGTGATGTGGCATGGCATAGCTAGACAAGGATAGTTGGCGCCCCCATATGTTTTGGAGGTAGAATGTCTGAGACGCTCTGGTAGATTGGTTAAGGGTATGCAGTGTACAGGCTTGGCGGTAGTTCACTAATTACTAATTCAACAAGTATTTATCCAGTGCCTACCATGTAGAAGGCACTGTTTTGGGGACTGAGCACGGAGCAGTGAATAAAGCAGTGAAATCCCTTGCCTTTGGGAGCTGACATGCTCGTGCATGATGAGCAAAAGCTTTCAGCTTCGCTCTTGAGTCACAGTAAGTGATCAATAAACACTGCTGCAATTATTAATTAGTGTCGTCATCACTGCTAATACGGTTGGTCCTTGAATAACATGGGCTTGAACTGTAAAGGTCCACTTATACGTGGATTTTTTTTTCCAGCAAAAACACATTGGAAGATTTTTTGGAGATTTGCATCAATTTGAAAAAATTCACAGATGAACCTTAGGATTTTCGTAATAACGTTTTGTTTTCTCTAGCCTACTTTGTTGTAAGAATACAGTATGTAATATAACATACAAAATATGTGTTAACTGTTTATGTTATTGGTAAGCCTTCTGATCAGCAGTAGGCTCTTTAGTAGATAAGTTTTAGGGGAGTCAAAAGTTATATATGGATTTTTAACTGCACAGGGGGTTGGCACCCCTAATGCCTGCAATGTTCAAGTGGTCACTGTATTATCCCCTTCTGTTTTCTAATCAGTTTGACACCAACGGAGACGGGGCAATCACCCTGGGAGAGTTGCAGCAGGCCATGCAAAGGCTTCTGGGAGAGAAGCTCACCCCCGGGGAGATCGCCGAGGTTGTCCAGGAGGCCGATGTGAATGGAGATGGCACTGTTGACTTCGAAGGTGACACCTCCAACTCCAACACCCTGTGTGGTTTTCCAAGTCGGCCATTCCTTGTCACTCTTCCCCCAGGTTGAGGTTGGGTGGTGGGGGGACAGGTTCTGGAAGCGTTTTTGCTGCACCCCTTTCTCCCCATGTTATTTTAGAGCTCAGTGTCTCCCACCTCTCCTGCTTCTGCCCCTGGTTGCTTCTTGGACCACTTTGTCTGGTAGCACATTCCTACGCATGCTCAGGCAGGACTCACTCACCTCCACCTGCCCCGTCCCTTCCTTGTTCACTGGGCAGTTTTGTCATAGGGACAAAATGTCCCATCAGAAGGAGAGTGGATGGATTATTAGCTGGAACTCTGGGGTCAGATTCACGCAGTTCAGTTTCAGGATCGTCTCTTACTATGTGGCCTTATCTTAGTCACTCTATTTATTTATTTAATTGGGGAATTGGGGGATGGGAACAGCGCTGGGGAATTGGGGGAAGGGGAACAGACA